CCAGGCCTTTGGCAAACATAGCAGGATCTATGCTGTCAGCTCATATTGTACATAAAATTAGATGCTTGTCTAATCTGAATGAGAAATACCAGGGAAATTGGAGCTGAAGCCTTGCGGTAATGTATGTGGAAGCTGAAAGCGCTCTATCTGTACTACATGATAGTCTCCAGTGACATAACAATATCTGAAAGAGTGGAGAAAAATATAAAGAAAAATAATTCAAACAAAGATATATAGCACCCTGTATACTACTGTAAAAGCTGAGAATGCAATAATCCAGCAGTCAAAGGATAAATTCTAATCCATTTATAATGTAATCCTAATTTGAGATATATGTATAAAACATTTTATATGAAAAAATACACTGTAATTCATGTTTAATTGACATTTATCATTCAAATTTAAATTTTAATCTAAATGTTATGTGGATTTGTTCCCTCTTTGCTTTGGTAATGCACAAGTGACTTTTGATAAAGAGTGAAACAATCTAAAATGATCCTGGAAATTAATACAACTGTAGTAGCTGTCAACACAAAATGTAGATATTTCTCACTGAAACCACATGTCCAACACTCTAAATCATCTTGTTAAGGATCAGACTATTGCCCAAAGACTGAAACAAATTCTTTTGGGCTACTTGTTTTGAACAAATTCTTTGCACAAACTACATTATTAGTCAGAATATGTTTTGATACTTTTCGTAAATCTCATTAAACAATACGGCCACAACAAGAATATATGTATAACGTTGCTGAAAATAAGGTGGGATCTTCCCTTTTATAAAATGTATATGTATGTTTGCATACACATATTGATTATTTTGTATGATCAAAAGGACAGATACTGATAATCTTGATTTCTTTACAAAGTTGGTTCACTGGTATACAGACAATTTTAAACAACTGGCTCTCCTTTTATTTTAGAATTGCCTTTTTTTTTTTTGTCTACTAATAAGACTATCTTCACTTCCTGCTATTTAAATTAGCAAACAGACAACTGACTTTATGAAAACTAAATTAATTACTCTTATAAAAAGAATATTTGAGTCGTAAATTGTTGAATGTACACTATTTTCTGTTTAGACAAGGATAATCTGGTTGAATAGTAAAAAGTGATCATAAACTCCAAGACCATTCATGTCCATTTTCTAAAACTGGTTTACTAATTCTGACAGAGGAGCCCCCAAAACACAACAAAACAATTCAACAACAAACCAACAAAAAACCAAATTCTAGCATGTGTGAAATTCTACAAGCATCAGATAGCTAAACTGACCCTAAGTCTCCCAGTGTTGCAGTAAGGTCAAAACCTTTCAGCATTGTACCAGTGTGTCAAAATATGTCAACAAACCATCATACTGCAGGAAGAAGAATGACCTTTCAGTTCTTTATGTTTGGGCTGCCAATGAAGCTTTGGATAGTGGGTATGCATGAACAGTTTTCCTAGCTACTTGACAAATGCAACTCCCAAGCTTTCCTCTAAATCTGGTTGTCAAACCACTAGGTTTCAACTCACTGGTACAACTTTCTAAGCCCACATACTATTGGAGACTAGTGATGCTATTATAAAAATGCATGCTTTCAATATATCCGCAAAATAATTTGCCTTTACTTCAACCAAACCGATAAAATCATTTCTTAAACATTCTTTGGATGAACAGATGTCAAACTCTTTCAAACAACTTAGTAGAAAAAAGGATTATCATTCCATTGTTCCAATTCCTAGTTTTCTCTTGTGTGATAAATCCTGATAGTCAATTTCTAATCCATGAAACAAAAACCAAACACTAAATTGTATGTGATCTGAACTGAATCCTCTAAAATCCTACCTTTCTTATCAGTCATACACACCTTTTGGTTCCAGGGGTATGAAGTTGTACTCCATATGCTTTATGGAAATATGCTTATGAATATGACATAACTGGAATATACTTTACGCTAAATATCCCTTGTATGGTGTCATTAGAAAGTTTGTAATCCACTAAGTGTGTTCATCCTATTTGTTTGCATGTATTATTTCTATATCTGGAGTTAGGAGAATAAGATCTAAACTTGTATCAATGATGTAAACATATTCAGTGGAAGCGATTAAAGGTGCTCCAGAAAAAATCAGTTGTATATTGCCTTAGTTACTTGAAAGCCTTCCTGTGAACGTGTGGGCCAGCCCAGGGGGAGTGGAGACTAGGGGTTTTACAGTGACATGAGACCATGTCACCTGATAATGAAATCCATCTTAAATCTGGTACTTTTCCATTTAGAACGAGGGGAGGGGACCCAGAGAGACAAAAGATTTCTACCTCATGCCAAAGCTATACAAGGGGGTAGAGCAGGACAAAAGGGGCTGCCAGTCATGAGAAAACTCCTGCTTACCACCTGAGATGTCTGCTGAAACTAGGAAGGACTGTACCAAGGGAAAGGATTGCGCCCAAACTAGGAAGGAGTCTAGTCTGTGAAAGAATCAGAGGGGTAGCCGTGTGAGTCTGGATCTGTAAAAGAAGGATCCTGGATCTGTAGTCTATGAAAGAAGCTTATTGGAACATCTCTGAGGGTGAGATATTACCTGTAATCAGTTTCTTAATGTATTAGGCTTAGACTTGCGTGTTTTTGCTTTATTTTGCTTGGTGACTTACTTTGTTCTGTCTGTTATTACTTGAAACCACTTAAATCCTACTTTGTATACTTAATAAAATCACTTTTGTTTATTAATAAACCCAGAGTAAGTGATTAATACCTGGGGGAGCAACAGCTGTGCATATCTCTCTATCAGTCTTATAGAAGGTGGACAATTTATCTATTTACCCTATATAAGCTTTATACAGAGTAAAACAGGTTTACTTGGGGTTCAGGCTCCCAGAAAGGCTGAACACTGGGTGCTGGGAAAGTCCCTATTAACTGAAGCCCCTGGGCTGAGTGAATCTTAGTTTCAGTGAACTGCAGAAGCGTGGTCCAACCTCTGGGTCTGTGCTGGAGCTGACTGGAGTGCCTAATTCAGCAAGACAGGAGTGGCGGGGCGCTTGTTCTTGCAGGAGGGTTGTTCTCAGTGGTATCCCAGCTCATCAAGTAACAGTCTCGAGGGGAATCTCTGTGACTGAACCCACCGCAACGGACTTCAAAGATTATTTTCATTTTACCATTATGATTATTAGATGTAAACAGGTGTTTTAATATCAGGCTTAATTTATTAATTAGAAACAAATGTCAATTTACATTTCAAAAGTGTAGGTGTTACTTTAAAAATACTTACAGGAAATTTGTTCTTATTTATTCATGTTCTCTTTTTACATATAAGCACAGGACTAAAGACATTTAGATTACAATTAAAGGGGGAAAAGAATTCATTGGAGGGAAGACTTGCTATTCATATTCAAACAGAGAAGAAGAAATGCTTCTCTCATTATGTGGAATTATCATTATTCTAATATCAGTGTCAAAGAAGACATTTTGCTAGTGTCTTCTTCATATAGTAAAGTTACTTCAGCTAATAACAGTGTCAAGTTTTCTCCTGGGACTCTCCATAAATTGTATTACAGAGTCTCGAGATGCAGTATCCAGGCTTGCAAATGATGGAAAAAGTAAATTGTTATATTTGACTTTACATGTACTTGCAGCAAGTCATCCACGATACACTTACTAATTGTTATTTAATCGGTCTCTTGTTGATATCTATGTACTTGTTAGTATACTGCAGTAGTGTCTACTAATGTTGATATAACGGATTGTTACAGTCCTTACACAAAGTAACAATGGAGTCTGTCCAGTTTCTTTAATCAAGGTGGCATTACATTCTTACTTTACAGAATAATCAACCCCAGACTGGGTAATGGGACTTCTAGATTTCTTCAGATGAACTGAAAGTATAGCACAATGAAATACAGCAATTTTCAATATTAGCAGAATTTCAAGCTGAAACAAAGCAGTATTATTGTTACAAAAGTCCAATCATCCTAATTTTGGCAACAGAACCTTAAATGTGCTTCACTTCCAACACAATAAGAAATGTTGTTCTCACTATTTTTACTATGTCAAAATGAACAGGTGCCTAGTTAATATATATAAAACAAAAATAAAATACTATCTGTTGATTGACAGGTCTAAATAAAGGGGTGCTTCTGCAGGTGACACCAGACTCAAAAGGTCGAAATTATTCTGAAGTGTTTTACTACACCCCAAAACTAGATAGGCCAGATGCCATGTACAGCACAAAAATAAATAATCACTGCAACTTCCTTTCTGCAATGGTATGTTTTATTGCAAAAGGCGAATTTAACTCAGTGAGCTGCTAATGGTGAGGACTGTTGTAAGGATAATAGTGAAGGAAAACCAAGAACTACTTTTACTAAACATTCTTTAAGAGAAAATATCTTTTTATCCTAACAACATGTTGTCCCCTCCATATAAAAATTTTGTGAAGTATAAAGTAATTGTTTTTCTCTAACACTCATGCAGCTAATTATTCCATCTTCTTTTCCTACCAAGTGTGTTATCCATTTCCTTATGAATACAGAGGAAAAAATGGCCATAAACAACAGTCACTGGACAATCTAATTCCTAACATGGGGAGCCTGCTTGTTATACAATCTAGATTGAACTGAGTACACTGTAATCTGATGTCTTGGCTGTCTTACAACTATTGAAAGTCTTCACAAATACTATGGATAAAATTTCCCTCTTTATCTTGGAGAAATGGAATTGAGATGCTTCGTTCCTCTCGCAAAACAGTTGACTACTATGTCTATTACGGTAATTATATCTTTAAGACAGACATAGATGATTTTAAATGACAATCATTACGAGAATTTGAAACAGATATTTATGCATTTTACCTTGATTCAGGAACTTTGATTCTAAAATGCAATACGTTAGACTCCCAGAATACATTTGACTCACATGGTTTAATGAAAAACACACAAATAAAAATTACCACCATTTTTTCCAGGTACGGAAATTCTTATGAGCTTTTAACTTAGTACTCATCTATGAAGAAAAATAATGGAAACCTACCTATTCCAGTAGCTCCAGAACTGGTCTTGCAGATAGGCCTGGTGGCTACATTCATCACCAAATGAAGCTTTGCTTTCAATCCAGTGAATTATATGTCCTTCAACAGCTAGGGGACAAAGCATTACTAATATAAAATGAATGCAAGCTCTGAAAATCTGACGACAACAAAGATTTGTAAAGTTCTACATTAATCAAAGCTACGATATGACTTATACTTACGGCACAGGTGTATACTTGTAAACCATCTTTCAAACATTTGCAATGAATATTTTTTGAAACAAAATCTAAGAACCACATAGTAGTGTTTACCTACAATTCTCTCAATTTAACTTTAATTACCGTGTGCTCCAAAAGTCCTTCGAATGCACTTAAGCCAGTACAAACAGTTACTCAATGAAAAAGGAGCCAAAATACTGAGGACAGAAGTACAGCTATACCCATTTCCCCCTTACTCTCCCTAATCTTAGGTGTCAGGAAAGGGGCTGGAAATACCTGGTGCATACAGGGGCACGTAGGCGAGTTACTGTAGCAGAAACTTTTCAGTGCTGTAGGTTGGGGTAGGACAGGGAGCAGACAAGCAACAGCAGCTCACCCCACAGTGTTGAAAATTATGAACCGTACATACATATATATTTCTCCCTTTTCTCTTTGGAGTCAGCAGACACTGTACCTTTGTGGGGATGTGTTCTGTGCTATTATGTAGGAAGGATATGTCAAAGAAGTGACTTTTCCGTTTTACTACGAAGACACTGCAGTTCATGGTGTCTTCCAGGAGCAACCTTCCAACCTGTGCGCCAGTCACCATGAGAGGCCCATCTCCTGCACAAACAAGGTTTCACTCCTGAGGTTGACCAATTTTTCCAGTGGGAAGTTATGCCCATATAAGATGAGCCAGTCTCCCTCCGGGTAACCTGGGACACTGCCATGGAAGGCTTTGAAGACCTTTCTATCTGTATAGTTTTCTATAGCACCTATCACTGGTGTTTAGCTTACTGTAGTGCCTAAGGAATGAAACATTAAGTTTGACTTGGGGCGATGTGCTCTCAGAAGTTTGTGCTGCAAAGCCAGACAGGCTCTTGTATTCTACATCAATTATAGAATTTTAAAAAGTTTGCCTTTTTATATCTAAGTAGAGAATCACAGTTACAAAGTATACATGCATTTCCATAGCCTTGTCGAAGTCTGATAAGAGGGGGAGTTATTTGTCTTCCTGCCAGTCATAGATGGGGGTAAAAAAGGTACTCTACACAGCTACTGGGATACCTAGAGGCAGTGAAGCGTACAGACAGACAGCAAATCCATGGACTGTTTTAACCAATCAAAAAGGTGATGTTCCAGAGCTAGTAAGCTTTCCAAAATACTTGCCTTTCCCAACCAACATCTCCTTTAGCCTTCCAATGTTTGAACTGCAGCCAGTTGCTCTTCAGTTCATCACAGCCAGGATGCTGGATTGCTGGGAGATGGTGATGTTTGTGTTTGATATGAAAGAGATTAATAGCTAGATATTGTCTGTTTTTTGCTAGATTTTTAGTCAGTGCTGTTTCACAATCTTCTTAATAGGTTCAACAAGACTGGTGAGATGACAGATCCATGAAACTGCACAGGTGAGAGCTTTGGAAGTGAAAGAGTAGGTGTTCATTGCAACTTTATGAGTGTGGCCTGACAGCATGTAATTAAGCCATCGTAGAGTAATCCTGCCAAGTGTCTGTGGTGGGACAGCAGAATATCATGGTTGAATGTATCAAATACTGTGGAGAGGTCCAGTTGTTTGAGTATGGATGCATGGCTTTTGTCCATGGTCATCTATTAGTGCCACCAGCGCCATCTCTGTTCTTGAAAACTGAGTGGGAGGAGTCCAGAACATTGAAAATATTTAGGTGGAGTGGAAGATGTCCCTTTGGATCTTTTCAAAATGCTTTCTCATAAAAGAGTGATTTCATAGTGGAGAAGAATGTTGTGTTGAGTGATTATACCTTAAATACTGGCGAGGTAATTACATGATTTAGAGTAAATGATGATAGATATCTCTCATTGAAGCAGATGTTGACAATTTTGCTAGTAAGAGTCTTAGAAGCTTGAATCACCAAGAAGGGCAAAAATCTGAGTCACAGATAATGGCTCAGTTCTCATATAGTGCTTCCATGAGTTTGTGATTTTCTCTGAAAAATACATTGACATATAGTTGAAAAGGGAGGTGCCAGATTCTGAAATTGAGTTGAATAACTCTTCTTGGTTAAGGTGGTGACTCATGATTCAGCAGCTGCTATTATGGAGGAAATAGTGGGGTTGCTGGTTTGGTCAGCAGGCCTAGTGGTCTGGGCCTGCTGCCACAGTCTCTCTTTTCGTCCAGTGTGTCTGGGATCCCTGGATGGGGTTCTACTGGGTCAGCTTCCTTGTCGGTAAACCCCTGGCTCTGCCCATCCCAGAGCTAGGTGTAGGGGATTCTAAGATGAATAGGGGGACTAGGGTCCTCTGCTCTGTCTGGTCCAGGGCCCTGAAAGTATGACAGCATGGGCTGGCCTATGCTTGGTCCACCTCTAGTTCACCTTCCCTTGGGTCACTTGCTATCCCATCCAATTTCTCAGTTTGGGGTATAGCTGCTGTTTGGTTATAGTCCTTTGCGCCAAACTCCCAGTCTCATGTCTGATGCAGGCAACCTGAACATGATTCTCCCTGCCTCTAGGGTGATGTCTTGAAAGAGGAGGAGGAGGAAAGATTCACAGTAAGACCTCCTCAATAAGAGCTCTTTTTCTGCCTTTCTCAGGGAAGTGCTCCTGCTAGAAATGGCTTCTCTCCTCCCCCATGCCTGAGTGGCTGGAGCTCTTTTTATACTGCTCCTTTTCCCCAGGAGCATATTCAGCAGTGCCTGAGGGGTGTAGCTTTCCTGGCCCAGTACTGTTTCAGCCTTTTCTCTGCCTCAGTGTGGGGTTTGTAGACCCCCCATAACAGAGAAGACAAAATTCTTACTTTTTCCATGGAATAGCTGTTAAGTCTGAGAATTCCTTGTGTTTGACTATCTAGATGCTTATGTGATCCTCATCACCAGTAGGATGGGAATGCTAGAACTTATCTATCAGTTTTTCTCCACTGACACAAAATTTTCTTTCTTCCTGATTCTTCTCGGTCAGGCTATTAAGTACCCATGGAGATCTGTGGGGGCAACGAGGAGAATGTGGATGCCAAAATGAGGCAAATGAGTGGTTTCACTGATTTGCTGGATCTTCCATTCCATGGCCTTTTGGTGGGGAGGCATTACCCGTAAAGATGTTTTGGAGTTTGACTGGGTCTATGAGTTTCTGGGGATAGACCATTATAAATGGTTCTGATCTCAGCCTCAGATGGTGGTCAGTTCAGGTTTGAGGTACAGGGATGTTACTTAAGTCCCCCGCTTTCCAAAAAACACTTCTTACAGTTATCAAGTTACTACTGCAAATCCCTAGAAACAATATTTTATATTTGTAATGTATAAAGTAAAACATGAATAATATACTATAATATTTACAGTAATATTTTATAATATAATCTAGTTTTTACTGCCTTATCATTAAGTAATGTTAACATTTTAGTATAAACACAATAAATTCTAATAGAAAAAGCTTTAAGGACTTACCTACTGGCACTTCTAAAATAAAATCTGGTGTTTTGTCATAACCCTTTGCACGAAGCTGTTCTTCAGCTGCATAGAGAACAAATACTATTGTTTATAACACTATTCTATTAACTAGACAGCAGTATAATTAATTTTCTTTTAAATAAGAGTGCAAGAATTACTAATGCAGTCATACATATCTTTCATATGTATGCAATGCTGTCTCAGATTAAATGAACCTTCTTAGCAAACCTGAAGCATGGATATAAAAATGCTTCTTTGTCGTCTCTGCATTTTTATGTCTTCATTATAAACATCATTAATTCAAGCTGTCATACAGTACTTTGTAACTGAAAAACTGTTCAAAATAAAGAAATATATTTGCTTATCGAAAGAAGAATCTCTTCACATTAGAATTAACCTGAACAGCTTTTTACTAATGCCACAAATGTACATATTCTATAGTTGCTTTCTTATTTTATATTGAAGACTGACTAAAGTTATTACAAAACTTTATCTTCCAATTGGAAAGCTATAAAAGGAAAGAGAAGACACAGATTTTTATTTCTCTTGCATTATGTAGAATTTGCCAAATTTTACAGTTCAGTAGTACATACATTTAAAAGTACATTATCTTCAAGAGTTAAGTCTGTTTGTAATTCTGTATCCTTTGTAAATACCAAAACTTCTTTTAAGCAATATCTGAAGATTTTCAGAACCATGACAGGGAGCAAGCAAGACAAAATTGTGGAGGAAAAAATCAACCCATGCCTTAAAAAGAAGAAAAAAAAAAACTTCACTGCTGTCTAGGTGTTGTCCTTGACTTCTAATGGCGTTAGATTGGTATTCCTGAAACACCATTTCTCCATTAGATTTTGGAGTGACCTGGTCATTCAATTCCAGACATGGCTTTCTGTCTTCACCCAACCTCAACTAATTGCACAACCAAGTAACAAGGAAGGCTGTGTGGACTCTTAACATCTACTGGGCTGTTGACATTGTCATGCATCCCATTCGCCTTTCTGCATCACCTTTGATTAAAATTAATGGCCCATTCCCACAATTGGGTAGCTTATTTCCAATCCATTTATCAGCCTAGGACAGTGGTTTCATGGCAAATGTTCAGAACTCTGTTTTAGAACACTTTGTGCATATCCTGAAAGGTCAGCACTTTGAGATGAAAGAACATTTTAATGACAAGAACAACGTTTAGATTTTTAAGGGTACATTTGTTAAAGGTTGTGAAAAACAAGAGACTGAAGTTAATTTTTCAGCTGCTGCACTAGAAGTCATAGTAAAACCTCACTAATTTGCACTAAGACTAGGATATCCATTGGGGTAGTTATGAATTAGTGTGTAAGTGAACAACCAAAAGAAGGGGGAAAATGCACAACTAGATGTACTTCATTCATTTTGACGTGTACTAATAAGTGTACTCTAGTACAGGGGTCGGCAATTTTTCAGAAGTGGTGAGTCGAGTTTATTCACTCTAATTTAAGGTTTCACGTGCCAGTAATACTTTTTAGCGTTTTTAGAAGGTCTCTTTCTATAAGTCTTTAACATATAACTAAACTATTATTGTATGTAAAGTAAATAAGGTTTTTAAAATGTTTAAGAAGCTTCATTTAAAATTAAATTAAAATGCAGAGCCCCCCCGGACCGGTGGCCAGGACCCGGGCAGTGTGAGTGCCACTGAAAATCAGCTCGCATGCTGCCTTTGGCATGCATGCCATAGGTTGCCTACCCCTGCTCTAGTATATTGTAAAAATAAGTGTTAGTAATACAGCACCTCACTATAGTGACGTATCAGCTATTAAGCCTTGGTAGGTGTTAGAGAGCAAAAGCTAGTGTTTTTTTTTTAACCCAGATATAAAATATATGGATGAGAGATGGGCAGATTAACAAAGCTTTACTTTATGTTAATCTCTGAAACCCATTTTGAGTCACACCATAACAACACGATAAATCAATATTCTGAACAATTTCTTCATTCTGATAGGAGTGAAGAATAGGATAACCGTTGCCTACTCCTAACTGCTGATTCTAATGTTTGAAAATAGTTAAAAAAGAGGCTCAGATGCTTTGGTTAAAACTTCATTCATCTTAAAACCGCAGTATTATTGAACAGATTTGACATTAACCAAAGAGAAAATAATATTAGACTGTATCTTAAGATGTATTTTAAAACTTCATATCTGCACAAAAAATAAAAAAATCCCCATACTAGGCATCAATATGTTAAACAATAAAAATACCATTTATTTAAATATTTTTGGATGTTTTCTTCATTTTCAAACACAACACAGAATACAAAGTGTACAGTGCTCACTTTACATTTATTTTTTATTATAATATCTGCACAATAAAAATAAAAGAAATAGTATTTTTCACAATCTAATACAAGTACTGTAGTGCAAATCTTTATCATGAAAGTTGAATTTACAAATGTAGAATTATGTACAAAAATAACTGCATTCAAAAATAAAACAATGTAAAACTTTAAAGCCTACTAGTCCAATCAGTCCTACTTCTTGTTCAGCCAATCGCTCTGAGAAACAAATTTGTTTACATTTAGAGGCGATAATGCTGTCTGCTTCTTGTTTACAATGTCACCTGAAAGTGAGAACAGGTGTTCCCATGGCACTGTTGTAGCCAGCGTCACAAGATATTTATGTGCCAGATGCACTAAAGATTCATATGTTCCTTCATGCTTCAACCACCATTCCAGAGGACGTGTGTCCATGCTGATGATGGGATCTGCTCAATAATGATCCAAAGCAGTATGGACTGATGCATGTTCATTTTTATCATCCCAGTCAGATGCCACCAGCAGAAGGTTGATTTTCTTTTTTGGTGGTTTGGGTTCTGTAGTTTCCGCATCAGAGTGTTGCTCTTTTAAGACTTCTGAAAACATGCTCCACACCTTGTCCCTCTCAGATTTTGGAAGGCACTTCAGATTCTTAAACCTTGGGTCAAGTCCTGCAGTTATCTTTAGAAATCTCACATTGGTACCTTCTTTGTATTTTGTGAAATCTGCAGTGATAGTGTTCTTAAAATGAACAAATGTGCTGGGTCATCAAATGAGACTGCTAGAACATGAAATATATGGCAGAATGCGGGTAAAACAGAGCAGGAGACATTCAATTCTCTTCCAAGGAGTTCAGTCACAAATTTAATTAACGCATTATTTTTTTAAAATGAGTGTCATCAGCATGAAAGCACGTCCTCTGGAATGGTGGCTGAAGCATGAAGGGGCATACGAATGTTTAGCATATCTGGCACATAAATACGTTGCAATGCCTGCTACAAAAGTGACATGTGAACGCCCGTTCTTAAGCGGGCAGCATTATCCCCCATAAATGTAAACAAACTTATTTGTCTTAGCAACTGATCAAATGTGTTTTCATAACATCAAAGTCTAGAACTTGAGACAGACACATGTAATAAATTGAAAGAAAAAAGACAACCACTTAACACACCTTAAACCTTAAGTGAGCTTATATAAATATTTTAAATATATACCATAATTTCCTTTATTTATATCTTTATATACTGATGAGATAATCCCTTCTAGAATTGCTAAAATTTTGTATTAGACAGCACAAATTACATACAGCTTATTTTTATTTTTTAAAAGGTAACCTGAAGTCTATCATAGGTCATGATTCATTAAAAATTAAGTCTGATTTGCGTGCTACAGAAGTTTATACAAGGCCACAAAAATGAATCATTTGGGTCGAAGGATTCTTTAGTGAGTCATCTAGTCCATTCCCTTGTATCATGCCAGGATTGATTTCATTAAACATACTTGTTAGATGAGTGTCAAGTCTAGCCTTGAATTTTTCAGTGAAGGTGATTCCACAAGCTTCCCAGGCAGATTGTTCCTGTACTTAACAGTTCCTATAATTATGAAAAAAGAAAAGAAGTACTTATGGCACCTCAGAGACTAACAAATTTATCTGAGCATAAGTTTAAGCATAAATTTGTTAGTCTCTAAGGTGCCACAAGTACTCCTTTTCTTTTTGCGAATACAGACTAACACGGCTGCTACTCTGAAACCTATAATTATGAATTTTTTCTCGTATTTAATTTCATCTTCCCAACTGCAGCTTAAGCCCATTACTACTAGCTCTGCCCTTATTCATTAGCAGGAATAACTGGCCACTGACATTTTCATGACATCTCCTTTTACATATGTAATTAGTTATTCCTGCCCTCAGACATCTTTACTCTAAACTGAAAAAGGTCCATTACTCTAAACTCTCTTCTGTGTCATATTTTCAAATGCTTAATGATTTATTATTCTCTTAAATTTCTCAAATTTGTTCAAGATGTCCAAAATACTAACCTGTGTGTAGTAGGTGCTATACAGTGTGTAATTACAATCCCCTCCCCCCAAAAAGAGGTTAAGTTAAAGAATTTATTGTTAAAAACAACAAAAAACCCTTTAACTGTATATTTAAAAAAATTTAGGGTATGTGTATACGGGCTCACCCGACCTTAATGGACTCAGGGAAGGAGTGGGAGTCTCTTATGGACAGTCCTCGACAGGGATCTGTCCTTGTGCCACGAGAGTGTCCCTTACTCTCATGGGAAGCCCTGCAGAAGAGTCTTTGGGCTTAGACATGGAGGGCTCTGCTTCTTAAGCATGTGCTTAGAAGGGCACTGTTCATTTGGTTAGGCCAATGTACGGCGGTCTTCTTGGCCTGGATCAGAGAGGGGCTTCATAGCCTTTTCCATTAAGTATTTTCTAAGGCAAAGCTCACAAGCTTTGTGAGTACTCTGTGGAACAGAGCGACAAATGCTGCACTTTGCTGAAATGTGTGTCTCACCCAGACAGCAGTGGCAGCATTGGTGTTCATCACTGATGGAGTAGGATCTAGGGCAGGCAATATAGTTTTTGAAACCCAGAAGTCTGGGCATAGTTTCTGACCATGGGGAGGGAGTCCCCGATCCAGGGAAACAAACCGCACTAACTACACTTAAGACTAACTGAACTAAGCTAAAGAATAACTATGTACAATCTTACAGGTTTTCTGAAAGGCTGAAGCAAGAGAAGACACTGGATTCTGACTCAGACTATGTAGCGGTAAGAAAGAACTGATAGGCCATTGATCTGCACTGCTTCTTTTACCCTCACTTGGGAGGACAAGGAGATCTACTGCACACGTATGGGCCAACAAACACTGCTTGTTAAAATCTCTGGACTCATGTGCATGTTGAACATACACACCCACATGTGGAGTACATACAGGGACCAACACTTGAAAAAGAACTGTGTATTTTTAAAAAAAATCAGAAACTTGGCAAATTTATCATTAAGTTCTCTGCACCAACTTTAACGTTGCACCATATTCCTGCCCACCATCTTCAGGTGGGAGACCTTCATGAGATGCCACAAAACTCAAGTCTATCCCACTGAGTAATGAATTAATTCCCACTGTTTGGTGTTTAATTGTTCGCTGATATCATCTGTGCCCACCATTCCAGTGGATACACACAGTATATTGGGGAAAAGGGCAGTAGGGAGATGCAATGATCAAATCTCTTCTCTGTATTGGAAAGGTGCCAGGGGATTTGAGACTTGAAACATGTGTTCTTGGTATCTGCAACCTGCACAAGATACGTGATTTATAGAGGACACCAGCATCCTGCCTATGCAACAAGCAGGACCCAGATAGATTAAGCAGAAGAGCAGGAGACGCACTGTATACATCTTGTGACTTGTGGGTACATATGACTTGATGACTGACTGGAGGGAAAATAGTGGGGCAGGAAAAAGCTGGCAGCTGCATGCCTAAGTAAAGCCACACTCAGATGTATGGATCAGTGACCAATGTGTAGAGTGGACTAGATGAAGGTAAATCTCTGGACTTTATGTGGAGGTCAAAACGACAAACAGGAGAGAATCAGTGTCATTTCAAACCCATAAATAAGGTTAAGATTTTGTCATGGGTATTTTTAGTAAAAGTCAGGGACAGGTCGCAGTCAATAAACAAAAATTAATGGAAGCCCCATGACCTGTCCCTGACTTTTACTAAAAATACGACCAGTGGGGGAGGGAGGGCTAACAGTCAGAGCCTCGCCGAGGGCTGACCACTGTGCACCTCTCCAGCTCCTTCTTCTGCAGTGGGGGCAGACAGCTTCTCCAGCCCCGCCGCTCTGGCAGGGGCTGAAGCCAAAAAAGTCAGAGGTCCATTAAAGTCACAGAATCCATGACCTCCATGATAAAATCATATCCTTACCCATAAATAATACAGCATATTAGGTTTGTGGAAGATGTGGGGGAATGTTGTCTCTGATTCATATTTGAAAGGTAAGCTGAGGTGTGTAGTCTCTGGTCTGCTGGAAGAGGATTGGCTGGATATAGGGTCAGGGTATATTGTCTCAACATTAATCCCCTTAATGACATTTTTTGTTTCTTGTTTTTTTAAGCAGAAAACTAGTTTTGTAAGCTCATAACTCAACAATGGCTGAACAGATTAGAACAGTATTTTATAATTTATGTTCATGAGTCACAAGCTCGTTGGTAGAAATTATAACCTCCATGAAGCCCTGACTGTGACCCCCCAAAGAGGTAAAAAAGAAACCAAGTAGGTAAAATGTTGGTTGCAAAAAATTTGACAAAAATTGCATGTTTCAGCAGTCATGAAACTTTTTGACTAATTTTGCCATTATGTAGATATTTGTTTGTGATAATGTTTGTGCCTTATGTTCCCTACAGGCAATATGGTCTAACTAATGGAGCACAGGACTGGTGATTAGGAAATCTTAAATTTGTATTTCCACCTCTGCTACTGCCACTTGACACTTCGCACTCATATAGCCCTTTACTAGCTATACCCATTTTACAGACTGGAAAAAGAGCTATTTTGTGACTAATTTAGTGGACTGGGAGTCAAGATATGATTCAAATCCCATTTCTGACACGGATTTACTATGTGACTTTGGGCATCTAATGTAACATATTATTTTGTAGGACTGAGGGCTGGCTTATAATAAATGCTGTCTTATATCTTAACTTTGGCATTATTCTAACTCCACAGTGGTTGAAATGACTATATTAATTGCCTCACTTGGTTTGCTTATAGCACTCCTATTAATATAACCAAGAAAACCCCAAGAAAGTATGTGCCTTTTTTGTGATAGCATAGCATTATCCAGTTTATCAATTTAAAATGATCAAGTCCTTCTCTTTAATAATTACTGTCTGGCCAGTAATCCTTTGGCTCTATATTTGCATATAATGATTTAATCTTATTCTACTGATTTCAGTTAATTGTTTAATATGCCAATATTGTGCTGTATTTTAATTATTTCTCAACTGCTCGTGATTTCTCCACCTATTCTACTCATCCATGAATATACACAACCCATATACTCTTCATTTCATCCTTCAAATTGTTAATACAAATACTGGTACTTAAAAATATAGGACTCACTTGCCTATTGGTACCACCAAACAAGTTAAAAAAAGCAGTATACATTTTTTAAGTCATACAAGAGAAATGTAAAAAAATGGAAGAGTCACTGAAATGATCATTTAGTAAAGAGTCTTAAAAAAGGCGGCTTTATACACAAGTATGAAAAGTAGCACCATCTTGTGTTTTACATAAAACTGGAAACATCTAACATCCTGGAAATACAGTACCAATATAATCTAAAATAGTATATTTACTCCCCAGTACTTCTTGACTTTGTCAGTTATGAACAACCTTTTTTCCATACCCTGTCTTTAATATCACTTGTAAGATGTTTCTATTTGTTTTTATTATTAATAATTAGTATTATTACTACTACTACTACAGTAATTACAAGCCAGAGCCAAAATTAGTACTGAGCCTTTCCAGACCCGAACCACTAAGTTCCTAAGTTTGATTTTAAAAACGTTGTAAGTTTCATGTTCCACTAGAGCAGTAGTTCCCAAACTGGGGTTCGCAAAATGCTACTGGGCATTTCTCAGGGAAAAATTCCCTAATGGTGGAAAGAGCTGTCCCTAGGGACTCCGGGCAGCATGGGGCCAGCAGCCCAGAGCCCCTGGACTTCCAAGAACTAAGCAGATCAAAGCAAGCATTTCTATCACACTGAGGAGATTTAAACTTAAGACTCCTTATAAGAAATGGAAAGGGAGTTGGATATTTTTTGCTGTTTTTAAAATTAAATAGGCAGCTAGTATTGTTTTTTAAATTATTATGAAGAACAAGTTTAAGCTTTGTTGTAAGTGCATTGTTTGCCTGGGCTGTTCAAGACCTGAATGCTTGTGTAGGAGGAACTCTGAGTTGGCTTCTTAAATACCTTCATGCTGTTTCACATCTGATACTCCTTGATGAAATATAGGAGCCTTGTCTTATAACAGGCTTATTCAAAGTGATACAAGCTACGAAAGTGAGATCTTGGAAGAATGTTGCTGTTTTCATAATGTAATAAAAATACTGTAATGATAAATAATAATTAATAATAAATAGTGTGTAATAAGCATGTCATAAAAACAAATTTTATATTTCCAAGATCACTGCTTTTGTAATTTATAATCTGGTAAAGGAGAAAATCCCTGGAAATACGCGGAGGGGGTATTTAGGAGGGGGTTCGCGAGACATAACATTTTAGTGAAAGGGGTTCACAGGTTGTTAAAGTTTGGGAACCATTGCACTAAAGTCACATAACCCACATTTCTTTAATTTCCCTAAGTTTATGTTATATGAAACCATACTACATGGCTTACTAAAATTGATACACTATGTCCTAAGAAATTCCTGTATCTACTATTACTATTCCTTTATCTACTACTAATTGTTACCCTACCACAGAAAGAAACTAAATCTGGCATGACTTGCTTTTGGATAAATCCATAATACTTACTATTTATCAATTAAGCTATTTTCTGTTCCTTTTTGTAAAAGTTAGGACATTATTTGTTCAAAAGAGGTATTAGTTTTAGGTGAAACTAATACATGTGTTGTATTATCTTTCTACATAAGAAATCTCTTTGAAGAATACAACATTTTACTATAGAACTAGGTTGCAGCTGTCTTATTTTGATATAATGTCACCATAGAAGGAATTCCAGATATAAGAAACTATCATAATTTATTATCATGATAAGATAATTCTTTAAATGCTAACCACTATAATTAATATTACTGTACCATGTTTAATACTTTTTAACAGATAGAAAATTAAATCATCTTCTAATATCTAAGTGAACATTTTCCAAAATAAATTCTTAAAATGACTTGAAAGATGGAAAGGTGGAAAGATTCAGCGCATTAGTTCAAAAATATCAGAAACCGCACTTACAGATAAACAAGTGAACTCTTCTGGCAGTTCTTTAATACATAAAGCATTTTGCAACTAATATTTCTTATCCTTCCTTCTAAGTCTCATATGGCCTAGATTATGGCTAATATCTCATGACACCAAAAGTAATACTGCAGCAGATATTAAAGCATTTTTTTCAGCTACTTATTCTATAAAATATTAATTGCAAGCCTGTGCATGTGCTGTATATATAGGGTATTAGGTAACTGAGTTCCTGCTCAGTTCTAAATCAATAAAAGATAACATGTACAGCATCAACCATTTTTTACTCTTCCTTTACATAATACAGCATGTGTTGAGGTCTCTTTTTTTTCCCCTTAAGTAAACAGTCACTGAGATCTTTGAAGCTAACGTATCATAGGTTAGATACTATAGATTCTTACCTAAGAAAGAGAGATTTTTCTCCAGCAGCATTTCTCGCAGCAGGACTTCATGCTCATGCCCAATAGCACTGATGGATTTAAGTTAAGGAAAAAGTGCTATATGTTTGGAATGAAACTAAATTCAGAACACTGTTACAGCTAGAATATAATGCCCCACATCATCAGGAGTGACCAGTGATTTGTACTTAGTGCTTTTTAAAAACCAAGGCCCTTTATGGTGTGTCAAGTTGGGTACACAAAAACGGAGGCACCCAAAATCACCAGTCAGTTTTGAAAATTTATACTAGTCTTTAAGTAGAAATAAAATAAAAAAAAATACCTCACACAAATGACAAAAGGCAGGTATCATCATAAACAACTTTCTTCAATATAACCAAGAGTAGTACTTTATCTTGCTTCCATTTTCTTCTCCAAAAGAGCAAAGTGTGAGACTAAAATGAGTGCCTTTATAGCTGGAAATTTTGGGCCTGATCTTTGGCTTTGTACTCAAGACTCTCACTGAAGTCAATGGGAGTTTTGCCTAAGTACATAAACCACAATAAATTGGATAATAATTGAACAATTTAAGATTTTGTTCTTTAAATACTGAAACTTTTTACACTTAAACCATCTGGTGTATCTCACTATACCAAAACAGCCTTTTAATTGATTTTCAGTTATATGAAAAACCAGTATTTCTCACAAGGTGAAATAAAATATTTCAGTGTAGTGTCTCCAATCCTTCTGATTCCATAGACAGCCTGTTGATCTGTACTTGGTATTATCACTAAAAAGTACAAGGTCACAACTTTAGATGTCTCCAGTCTCTTTGCTCGGGGTAAAATCTAGCACTTCAAAGTTCTAGTTGATTGGAAATTTTGTAAAGGAGAATCTGTAAATGAAACTTAAAAACAACTACAATTCATAATTTGTTTAGGATATCTTATACAAAGTGATAAACTGCAGAATTTACCACCATTATAATTAATTACTCTAACTTTTACCAGCACTAACTGCTGAACTGCAAAAAAGCCAATCATAAGGAATCACTTTATATATATACATCATTGTCTCTATCAATTGAAAGCATGTACTACATTAAACTATACTGGCAGTGACAGAACCAAAGAAGGAAAATGAATGATGGCAAAAATATAAGACAAATACTGCAAACAGAATTGATAATGCACCATAAGCAGAAACACTTAGCCTTAGTCTATAATAATACCTATTATTGATGAATAGCAGTGACCATGGGGCAAAACTTTTAAATAACCTCACAAGCCATTTTCTGCTCATGCAATCCAACAGCCTAGTTTCCCGTAAGCATCTGAACTATTACTGAAAAATAGCCTCCTGGCATTTACAAAGAGGTAGACTTCATACTTTAGTCCATGCATATATAATTAGATAGTTATATTTAAAATCAATATGCAATCCTTCAGAAGACATTATGCTTTTAAAACCTTAACTTTAAATTGATTTTTAACTATTTCATGTGCCTTAAAATTAGCATCTAATTCAGCAACATACACTCTCAGATAATGCATTCACACAGCTAAATATCACCAAACTTTACTGTAACAATCTTCAGTTGACAAACTTTTTATGTTTCCTAATAATGCCATCATTTTTTGTGCAAGCTGATTTGAAATGCGGGGGAAAAAACACACTACAGATTACAGAAAAATGCACTATTTCTTAACAATTTAATATAAAGCAGAGATATGCAGTATAATGCACCATTTTTATAAAATAAAGTTAGTTTTTACAGCTCAGAAGCATCTATTCAGATTCTTCATAAAAAGAATACAACCTCATGTACCTAATTTAACAGACCTTATGATTAATGATCCTTTAAAAGATAGGATGATGTTTAATGAATACACCTATGTATAATTGTACTTAATGTTACAGTGAACCTCAAAGAATATACCATACAAATAGAATTTGACCCAAACATGCTTTCATTAAAGTTAATGGGAGCAGGATTGGGCCCTTACTATATACCATACAAAGTAAAGCTGAGGAAAAAAGTGGCAGGAAGTGAGGCAATTTTTTTTCAGGAAATGCAAACACTATGACTGCAAAGTGTATTGGGGGTGTAAGAAGAAATATCTCCTTTAATACGTATGAATAGTGAATACATTTTTTCTCCATGTTTAACTGCTGGGAACCATCGTGGCTCCCCTTCCCTCCTAATACAGGGTGAAATTCTCACCTCCTCCAAAACCTTATTGAAATTTGTACAGAGAACTCTCTAGGACTAAGGGGAGGAAATCCACTCACCATCCTGCAGACTGGATACAAGGCCACAAACTGAAGGTTTCTCTTCCAACCATGGGCTGAAATAGATCAGCAACCCTTTATGCCCAATAAAGTGCTTTTGGGCCAGTGAATCTGCACAAGAGTGGCACCTTCCCAATACAATCCTTCATCCTCATCTATTCAGGCCTGTATAGAATCCCCAGTCTGCTGCAACCACTGAGAGCTGACTCTTCCTCCACAGTACTCTGCTCATTGTGGAGATACCTCCGACACTCTCTCCCACTTTCAAAAATAGTTTTATTTCCTATACCTTATGCCCTACTTTCCTTGAAGAAGAGGAGAAAAGAGCTGCACGGGAATGTCAGATACAGCATTTAAAATTTAAATCAGAACTTGAAAAGCACTTCAAAAAATCCAAAGGAAACATCAAATTAGTTAAGAATATTGCAATACTGGACAGTGGCACTTTAATGGCTTTATATGAATCACAATATGATTTCATCTCACCAAAAACAAGAGGGTTTCCAAATAAGCATATGTATGTACAGCCTCTGAACTGATAACTTCCCTTGGCCTATCTGATTTTAGTTAAACGGCATAAGAGAAAGGACTGCAGTGACCCTCTACTTGATTGAATGTAAAATAGAGGAGTATGAAATGTGTTTTGTGAAGTGGAACTTTATGTCAGGTTAAAGCTAGACATATCTCCTCCACAGAGTCTAAGCTCGTCAATTGTGCACCTAAAATTTTATGGGAAAGGATACTGTTTGATGCAGTCCACCAGTGGTCCATAACAACAGTCATTCACAGTACACTGCAGACAAATAAGAGTAGTAGTATAGTGATGGTCAACTACAAATCTATTACAGTTAAACAGTATGCTAAAAACAGTAATTACTTTGCCTCAAAAAGGTTATCAAAGGCTGTTCGGATATAATCACAGAAAACAAAAATTGCATGCTTTTTATTCACTATAAAAGCAAGCTATTAAAAAGTGAAATGATCTTCTCACAAATATTGCATTGCCATTTATGGTGCACCCTGACCTTAGTGATAGTTTATGATGACAGTAATTAAATGAGGTTTAAAATCCTTTACTCTGCTCGACAGAGAACAGCACTGCCACTGAAAAAAGATGGCTGTGATTAATACCTGATAGACCTGATTTGCTAGAACTCCATCTGGAATCTGAGAAGGGTCCCGCAGCATACTATTTATAAGAGTCTTGGAGGCTATGGAAGAAAAAGAAAATTGTTAGCTCAGTATGAACATATCATTAACCAGTTGTCAAAAAAAGTGAAACATACTTTTTAAAAGGAAAACGTTGGCTACACTGACAAAACAAGGTTACTTACCTGTAACTGAAGATTCTTCAAGATGTGTGGTCCCTATCTGTATGCCATTGAAGATTATGCACATATGCTATGCCCCCAGAGCTGGAGCTTTTGAAAGTAGTACTGTTTGGGGGTCCATGCATATGCCCTGTGCTGCCTCGTGGTCTCGCACAAGGCCATAAAGGGTGTGGCCACCAGCGTCTACAGTTCCTTCGCTACTGCAGAGCTGTTGAATCCGTAGCAGAGGGGAAGGAGGGTGGGTTTGGAATAAAGATTGGGACCACACATCTCGAAGAACCTTCAGTTACAGGTTAGTAACCTCATTTTCTTCCCTATTGTATTCTACTGTGGTTGATTAACAAGTAGTACCTATGTGGGAGGATAGCGCAAGGAGATTATGGAATGGAGGATTGCTGCTCTGAACGAATTATTTTTCACAGAATCATGCACTAGAGCATGGTGTGTACGGAACTCCACATGGCCACCTTGAATATGTCTGTGAAGGACACCTGTGGAGTGCAGCTCTAGTTGATGCTTGAGCTCTAGTGGAATGGGCCCTTCACAAGGGCATGGTTCTGCTAACTGATAAGCAGCGCATAATGCACCCTGAAACTCACCTGGAGATTCTCTGGGTGGAAATGGCTTGCCTTTTCATTCTCTCCGCTATAGCAATGAAAAGACAAGGAAATTTCCAAAAGGGCTTTGTCCGCTCAAGATAAAAAGTCAATGCCCTTCGAACATCTAATGAGTGAGGCATGAGGATTGGGGAAGAAGGTAGGTAAACGTATTGGTTGACTGAGGTGGAATAAGCTTTCGTGGGTAAAAAAAACATGCATCTGAAGAAGTGGGTTTTTTTACCCACGAAAGCTTATGCCCTAATAAATCCGTTAGTCTTTAAGGTGCCACTGGACTCCTCGCTGTTTTTGTGGATACAGACTAACACGGCTACCCCTCTGATACTTGTTGCCATGCTTATGTGCATGCTTCCTTGGTTAACGGCTAAGTTCTGGTGTGGGGTCCTTAGCACTGGTACCAGCAGAGCCTGACGGAGGTTCCACAGCAGGGGCGCTCTTTGACTGTTCAGGCTGATGTATGGGGATGGGAGGGAGGGTTCCCCAACCAGGATCCAATGCCAATCCCCTGGCAATCTCCATAAGTTGTTTCCTGCAAGGGAGAGTCCAGTTCTCCTGAGTATGGGCAGGAAAGGATGTGAAGTGGGTGCGATGTGGGCTTCCCTCAAGCAGCACAAGCAACACTGGTGCTTATCGCTGATGGAAAACGAGTGAGGGCAGGAGGTACAGGTTTTGAACCTCAGCATCTCTGGCATATACTGGAGGTGGGGAGGGGTTTAAAGTTTGGCAGGAAACACTGCTGAAGCGGTGTCCCAAGTCCTAACTCAGGTACGAAGGGAAGAATCAAAAAACAAAAACAGAACAAATAAGAAATCTAAACTCTGAACAGCACTAAAGATAGTTTTGGGAAGTACGTCACAAGGACATTAGAAGTAGAAGCTCTGACTTAGACTATGTGGCGGTGAGAAGGAACTGGATACCCTGGTGGCCCGCCGTGCCCTTTATCCCTTGGGCAAGACCACAAGGTGGCACAGGGTGCATTCACAGACCACCAAAGAGTACTACTTTCAAAAGCTCTGGGTGCACGTGCATGACCCTCAGTGGAATACAACAGAGACAATCATTCGAAGAACTCTTGATTACACAACAAGCAGTTGCAAGTATATTCCCCTCCATTTGCTAGTCACTTATCCATTCACATATGATCGAACTCTGATAATCTCAGAACCACAAAGGTATGTTATAAACACAGGGCCAAATTCTGCCTTCAGTTACACTTATGCAACCCCGTGCTCAAAAGCATTATGCACAGGAATATTTCCTAGAAAAAACATCTTAGATTTTTTAAAAGTATGAGGTTAGGATTAGAGGAGAAAGATACGCAGAGCTTCAAACAGGTGTTAAATACACTAAAGATGTTGTCTGAACAGTTTTAGTGGTAGTTAGGGACCTGAAGATTCCACTTTGGCAGTTTTCAGGTTTTTGCTGCATTTGTTCAGCATCAGCACACTTATTTGCTTTTACCTAAAAATATGCTATTCTAAATTCAGAAACAATAAATGAATAAATAAAGTCTCCCAAGCACTCTTCTTAGTCTTTTGTTATTTTTTCATACTGTAATTTTAATCTTGTTGAACAAATGGGATTTTCAATGGCCAGTATCAGGAAACACATTTAATTTTTTATTTTCATGTTTAAATATAGTCTCTGTAAAAGTCCAGCAGCCATTTCTCTTTGGACTCTTAATCTGGGCACTTTTGCATAATAATTAATAATATGAATCAAAAGATTTTGATCTAGAATGGCTCCTGCTTCAAATACCCAGACATTGGTTTTGCTTCTCAGCAAAACAGAATTTATAATATAGTAGCAGAAATATTTAGAATCCCTTATTAGCCCCAAGTTAAAAAAAACCCAAGAACTCTGAGAAAATGCTGTTTACACTTAGTTGGTTATATTATATGTGAACCATAAGATAACTGAGAGAACATGTTATGTAAAATTAAATAGATTTATGAAATTAACTACATAGAAACATGTAAGTTAAATATTGTATCCCCAGAATATATTTCTCAGCCACCCTTATATGTAACGCTGCAAAGATAAATAATAGAAATCATTTTAAAATGTTACATCAACAATATAGACTTCAGGTTTCAGAGTGGTAGCCATGTTAGTCTGTATGAGGAAAAAAAAACGAGTACTTGTGGTATCTTAGAGACTAACAAATTTATTTGGGCATAAGCTTTCGGGGGCTAAAACCCACTTCATCGGATGCATGCAGTGGAAAATACAATAGGAAGATATATATACACAGAGAACATGAAAAAATGGGGGTTGCCATACTAACTGTAACAAGACTAATCAATCAAGGTGGGCTATTATCAGCAGGAGAAAAAAAACTTTTGTAGTGATAATCAAGGATGGCCCATTTCAAACAGTTGACAAGAAGGTGTGAGTAACAGTAGGGGAAAAATTTGCATGGGGAAATAGTTTTTACTTTGTGTAATGACCCATCCACTTCTGGTCTTTATTCAAGCCTAATTTAATAGTGTCCAGTTTCCAAATTAATTCCAATTCTGCAGTTTCTTGTTGGGAGTCTGTTTTTGAAGTTTTTTTTGTTGGAGAATTGTGACTTTTAGGTCTGAAACTGAGTGACCAGGGAGGTTGAAGTGTTCTCTGACTGGTTTTTGAATATAGACTTCAGTTTGTCTTCTGCATTTTTCCTTTTCAGATAAAGAATAGTATCAATTAAGTAGTCAGACTTTTAAAAACTGTAAGGGTAACAGAAAAAGTTGGAGTGTATTCATACCTTGATCATGATTCTGTATATATTACAAAATGGTATATAATTTAAGAGAAAATGTGGGAGAAAGGATAGGCCAGAGGATTGATAACATGGGATTTCAATCAGGTATAAACCAGGCCACTAGCTGAACATCAGACACAGGTCAGTAGTGGTTGAAAGTTACTACCTGAAGATTCTTCAAATAATCATGAGTTGGTAGTTACAGGTCAGTTTCTTGTAGAAATGCATCCACAGTACAAAAACTGCCATGCTTGGCATTAGGGTTGCCAACTTTCTACTTGCACAAAACCGAACACCCTTCCCCGACCCCTCCTCCAAGGCCCTGCCCCACCCCTTCTCCAAGGCCCCGCCACTGCTCACTCCATCCCCCCTCCCTCTGTTGTGCACTCTCCCCACCCTCACTCACTTGCTCATTTTCACTTGAGGTGCAGGCTCTGGGGTGGGGCCAGAAATGAGATGTTCAGGGTGCAGGATGGGGCTCTGGACTGAGGCAGTGGGTCAGGATGCGAGAGGCGGTGAGGACTCTGGGGTGGAGCCAGGGATAAGGGGTTTGGGGTGCAGATGGGGGCTCCAGGCTGAGGGGACAGAGCCAAGGAGTCTAGAGTATGGGAAGGGGCTCCAGGCTGAGGCATGGGGTTGAGGTGTGGAAGGAGGGGCTTCTGGGCTGGGGGTGTGGGTTCCGGGGTGAGGCAGGGGGTTGGAGTGCAGGGGGTGTGTGAGGGCTCTGGCTGTGGGGCTGAGGATGAAGGATCTGGGATGCAGGAGGGTACTCCAGGCTGGGACCGAGGGGTTTGGAGGGCGGGAGGGGTCAGGGTGCAGGTTCCAGGAGGCGCTTACCTCAAGCAGCTTCCGGAGGTGCCAGCCACTGAGGGCTGCGGAACCAACGCTTGGGGCGGGGGCAGAGTGCAGAGCCCCCTGCCTGCCCCAAACATAGGAGTTGGAGGGGGGACATGCTGCTGTTTCCAGGAGCCGCATGGAGCTACGGCAGCCAGGTAGTCTGCTTTAGCCCCACTGCGCTGCCGACCGGACTTTTAACAGTCTTGTTAGCATTGCTGACCATAGCTGCCAGGGTCCTTTTTCAACCAGGCATTCCGATTGAAAACCGGACAACAGGCAACCCTATTCAGCATCCTTGTTGGTAATCTAACAAGAAAGGCCGGTTACTGAATGGGACTGGAAGCTGAACTATTTTATTACAACGAAGAACAGATACAAATTTAGGCACATTGAAACACATTGTCAGAAGGGCTTGGGATGGTTAGGGCTGTGGTTAGAACACTGGACTAACACCTGATCTACACTAAACATTTTTACCACCATAACTATGTCAGTCAGGAGTAGAAAAAAAATTATATTACTACCCAACAAACATAGCTGTGCCAACAGGAGTCCAAGTGTAGATGTAATTATATCAGCCAAAAAGTCCATTTGCCAGTATAGCTTATTCCTTTTGGGAAACTGGTATAAAATATGACAAAAGAACTCTTTTGCCGTTATAAGCTGCATCTCCACAAACG